TACGTTGATAATACTGTTTATGTTTTTTTTTCTTACAGAATCAATGAGCTGGAAAAACAACTTAGCATTCTATATCAGAAACAGGGACGTGCAACTCAATTTTCAAGTAAGGCTGCCCGAGATAAATGGCTCAGGAAAGAGATTGAGGATCTTAAGCGTGTTCTAGACTCAAATATGGTTCAAGTGAGTTTGCAGTATTAAATATGGAAGATGCATCATAACATAATTAGATCATATGATTACACAATGTTTAAATGTTTAAAAGTAAATATGTATTTCAATGACATTTGGATCTCTCTATAGTTTCATCTTTTGTCAGTGAATATATGGAATCAGTTTCATGTGATTGGTGATCTAACATATTCATTTTATTACAGGAGCACAAACTTCAGGATGAAATTCTTCGCCTCAAAACTGACTTGATAGAGCGTGATGAGCACATCAAGAAACATGAAGTGAAAATTGGTGAACTGGAATCTCATATTTCCAAGTCCCATGAACTATTCAATACTAAAAAGAGAGAGAGAGATGAAGAACAAAGAAAAAGAAAGTAAGAATTGCTGTTATTTCAAATAACTATAAGTATAGTAGACAATTTTTCTGATATAACAGGATAAATGTTACCACAGGGAAAAATGGGGAGAAGAAAGTCAACTTTCTTCTGAGATTGACAAGTTGAAAACGGAACTTGAACGGGCAAAGAAAAACCTTGATCATGCAACTCCAGGGGTAAGTGATTGGCTTTGGTATCCCTTTTCTTGTTGAAGACAATAATATGGCGGAAAATGTTAATTTTTTAAGAGTGGTTGATGCATTAGATACATCCAAGTACTTTTGGCTTAGTTATAAGTTGACAAGCAATGTGCTCGCTTTATATCTCTACTGGTTGACGTAACTTGACAGTCATTTTCAGTTTTCGTTTCTGGTGACTCACTCCATTCATTGTCTCAGGATGTAAGGAGAGGGCTGAACTCTATTCGACGGATTTGTTCAGAGTATAGGATCAATGGAGTTTTTGGTCCACTTGTTGAGTTGGTTGATTGCGATGAAAAGTTTTTCACTGCAGTTGAAGTCACTGCTGGAAACAGGTATGCGGGAAACCTGCTGTATTTACCTCACAGCTACAATTTTCATACTGTGCATCTACTTCTTACCTTATGATTGTCATCTCTTGTTCTACGACCAGCCTATTTAACGTGGTAGTTGAGAATGATGATATTTCAACCAAGATAATTAGACACCTGAATTCTCTCAAGGGTGGACGAGTGACCTTCCTACCTCTGAATCGGATAAAGGCGCCTCGCGTCAACTATCCAAAAGATTCTGATGCAATACCACTGTTGAGAAAGTTAAAGTTCGACTCTAAGTTTGAACCGGCATTGGGTCAGGTGTTCCTTTTGTTCTCTGTCCACCACTTTTATGCCCATCAATTTCTTTTCACTTTCTGAGCTTTTTATGTGCCTTTCTGTTTTCATATGGTCCACTTATTTAGATATATCGGCACCTTTGATGGAACTATTTACTTTTGTATTTATGTTAATGTCATTAAATCGTAATGTGTCTTGATGTAGGTTTTTGGTAGAACAGTAGTATGTCGTGATCTGAATGTGGCAACAAGAGTTGCTAAGAATGATGACCTCGATTGTATAACTATGGAAGGTTGGAACTGTAATTGCATTTGTATTCACTTTACATTCCATTTCAACATGTATTTGGTACCTGAAGGTTCTGGTATACCATGACAGGTGACCAGGTAAGCAGAAAGGGTGGTATGACCGGTGGATTCTATGACCACAGGCGGTCAAAATTGAGATTCATGAATATTATAATGCAAAATACAAAGTCTATAAATGAGAAGGAGAAGGAACTGGAGGATGTTAAAAGGCAGCTCCAAGATATCCTTTCCATAACTGACTTTTGTTTATTTGTTATTGCATTATGGTTGTCTGATAAACTATATCGTATTGTTCATTGATGGGTGTTGAGTGCAGCGTTTCCTTAACATGTCTCACTGATAGATCAGCAGATTACACAGCTTGTTACTGAGCAGCAGAGACTTGAAGCAGACTGGACGCTCTGCAAATTACAGGTGGAGCAACTTAAGCAAGAGATAGCTAACGCTAATAAGCAGAAAGATGCTATACATAAAGCCATTGAAAATAAGGTGCCTTTTTTCTTACAATTCAATCTTTTAGAGTGGCCTTTAGTGTTAATTATATCGCTCCCCCATGTTGTAGATACTAAATTTTTTCATCTGTTTGCAGAAAAAATCACTAGGTGATATTGGAACACGGATTGACCAGGTCAGATCCAGCATGTCTATGAAAGAAGCTGAAATGGGAACAGAACTTGTGGATCACCTAACTCCAGAAGAGAGGGTGCAATTGTCGCAATTAAACCCACAAATCAAGGATCTTAAGGAAAAAAAATTTGCATACCAGGCAGATCGCATTGAGGTTGGCAGTGAAAAAAAAACAAAAGTTTGAATGTTTGTTCTCCCTTTGAATTGATTTCTGATTTGTTTGCATTGCTTTCGATTGAATAAGTCTGATTTATGTGCTTTTATTTTTAAGTCTGATTCATGTGCGTTTCTTTTGTTTTTAAAGTCTGATTTGTGTGCTTTTCACTACACACAGAGGGAGACAAGAAAAGCAGAGTTGGAGGCTAATATTGCTACCAACTTAAAGAGGAGAATAACTGAGTTAAAGGCTACTATAGCTTCCATCGACGATGATAGTTTGCCTAGTTCAGCTGGCATAAAAGAACAAGAGCTTGATGATGCAAAATTGTTGGTCAATGAGGCCGCAAAAGAGCTCAAAAGTGGGTCCCAAACATTCTGATCTACTTTGCTTGACATTGCTTGATCTTGGTCATTTACTATTCAGACGAGTACATTCAATGCCATTTTGTGTTTTTAGGTGTCTGTGACAGCATTGATGAGAAGACGAAGCAAGTCAAGAAAATTAAAGATGAGAAAGCAAAGTTAAAGGTAGTATAATCTATAAATTAAGAGACTTGGTTTTCTCTATAGGTATCTGACAAAAGTTTCTTGTTCTCTCAGACATTGGAAGATGATTGTAAGGGCACACTACAAGATTTAGATAAAAAGTTGGAGGAACTATTTAGCCTTCGCAACACACTCCTTGCTAAGCAAGATGAGTATACTAAGAAGATTAGGGGATTGGGTCCATTGTCATCTGACGCTTTTGACACGTATGTTTGCTTCTGCTCTTTCATTTTGGTTATGCATCCAGACAGTTCAGCACTCAGTGTAGTTAGAACTTTAACGGTTATACTGTCCTAATTTTCATTTATCTTGTCCAGTTAGTTCTTAGTCATCATCGGCAGACAATTGTTTTGTGTCTTGAGATTTTTACCCTAGGAGTTCTATAATATGTACAAGCTATGGAATATTATAGGTATAAACGGAAAAATATAAAGGAGCTGCAGAAAATGCTACACCGGTGCAGTGAACAGCTGCAACAATTTAGCCATGTAAACAAGAAAGCGCTGGATCAATATGTGAATTTCACAGAACAGCGAGAAGAACTTCAAAATCGGCAAGCAGAGCTTGATGCAGGAGATGAGGTAAATAATGGGAGGTTTCATACACATTGCCAAATTCTATGCAGAAAGTAGAGCTTGATTGACACATGATGTTTCTGCAGAAAATTAAAGAGCTGATAACAGTTCTGGATCAGCGGAAAGATGAATCAATAGAACGTACTTTCAAAGGGGTTGCACATCACTTCAAGGATGTATTCTCTGAGCTTGTGCAAGGTGGATATGGTAACCTTGTCATTATGAAGAAAAAGGCATGTTTCTGCTTACTGTTTCTCAATGAAACTTTTTCCTCTTAAGATCAATTTAGTGTTCTAATTAATTCGAGTAGAGGTTTTCAAGTGAGCCTTAAGTGTATATCCTTGGTACTACTATTTGTTGGTCATCTTACTTGGTATTATGCTTTTTGTCGACTCGTTGACTTTCACATAAACCTTTCCTTTGTCTCCACCAAGGATTACGTAAGACCACCAATATCTGCTCTGTTGTCTTTTTGGATGATTCTTGCCTCTGTGTAAAGCTTGTGTGATCGCTTTACTAATAAGTTGGGTGGACATAAAACATTTTGTGTACACTTATCCAGGATCTTGATGATGAAGATGATGATGATGATGATGGAGGTCAAGCTGTTGCAGAGGGAAGGATTGAGAAATACATTGGTGTAAAAGTGAAGGTAAAGAAAGACTTGCGGATACTACATATTAGAGAAATGTATTTATACTTTGTGTAGGCTTTCAGGCTGATAATAGTTGGCACTTGTTTGGTAGGTCTCATTCACTGGTCAAGGTGAAACACAATCGATGAAACAATTGTCGGGAGGCCAAAAGACTGTTGTTGCCCTCGCATTAATCTTTGCAATCCAGCGATGTGATACCGCACCATTCTATCTTTTTGATGAGATTGACGCGGCACTTGATCCACAGTACCGAACCGCTGTAGGAAACTTGATTCGTCGTCTAGCTGATGATTATGGCACGCAGTTCATAACCACAACATTCCGTCCTGAGCTAGTGAGAGTTGCGGATAAGATATATGGAGTATTTCATAAGAACAGAGTGAGTATTGTGAATGTTATCACAAAGGATCAGGCGTTGGACTTTATCGAGAAAGATCAGTCCCACGATACCTGATCAGTCAAGAGGTTGGTTAAAACTCCTTCTCAGTACTCTCTTGAGAGCTTGCTTAACACTTTCGCAGGTTTGATTCTAGGAATATATTATTATCTCTAATGTGCAGTTCCAGGTTGTATAATTTATCTAAGTATACTTTAAAATAACGGTTTTATTGTCTCAACATTCTGATACTTTTCTAGACTTTGATGCATATCTAATTAGTTTATTACTTCTTCTTTTTAGGTAAAAATAAGGAAAGCCTATGAATGTATTGCATGCATTATACTTTGACCTTTCAGAAATGAAATCAATAACTAAAATAGGGGTGGACATAAATAAACAAAACTAATCGAAGTTTTCAAACCAGAGTTGAATCTATTTTTATTTTACTTTTATTCTAAACTGTAATATTGTTTTGTACTAGCTGAACTAGGACCAAATTCTGTGAAACTAGATAGAAGAAACTGAAGTTCATGAAAATATTAGCTAAATTTAAATAGTCTAATTTTCTTTTAACTTTTATCCATAACTACGAACTATACCTTTTCAAATCAAAACAAGACACTTTTTGTTTGTGGTTCTATATTTATATCAACAAAACTCAAAAAAAAAAAAAAAGGAGAACCCAACCCAAAAGTTTTGTGATTAAACTTGTCATCATCATTCAGTATAGAAACACCACTTTTATTTAATTTTAGCAACAATCAAATTGCATTCATCAAGCATTAAACCAAACACATATAACGATCCAACAAACATTATGATAAGAATACTAGTTATCTTGCATTTCATTAGAGGCTTAAGAACTAATTAATGTTAACTAAAAACGGAACAGGCGAAGTGGTAACCCATCTGACCATTCTAGCGATTCATGATGATATCCATTGATGCATTCGTCTTCCCATAGAACCAAAGCTTGCATATCGATGATGTCGTTTACATAATTCATACTCACACTTTTTAATTTCATCTTTGTTTGAACCTCAAGGCTAAAGCAATGCCTTGAGCAGAGGAGAGACACCAGCAACAGCATTACAGTTGCATGTGTTATGATGCAGCTAGTTCATTAGACTATAAAGCAGAACATAAGTCAGTTTTTCTTCGTTTTGCTTTTTATGCAATGCCACTTCCCAAGTTTTTATGTAATTATACCTTTTTGTTGTTTAACAGTGGAATATGTCATATCTTCTTTTCTACTATCCTAAAATAATTCCATAAAGACTTATGATATCCAGATTCCAGAGTTTTTAACTTATGATACTAATTAATCCTGATATTGATGTTCTGGTTACTATAACATGTAAATCAACAAAACAAAATGATTTATAGAAAATTGTTTTATATAATTCTAATATGAAACAAAATTAACAACATGTTTCTGGATCATTACATATACGGAAAAAACATTAATGGTAGTTAATAACTTGGTTTAGAAATTAAAACCCTGACTAAACAATATACGAACGATTCAAGCTGCGAACTGATTAGAGTGGAGTAATTCGATATCTTCTTCATAAAAAAATTCTCCAATGTCGAGCATGTCCTGAGGATTGTAGTTGTTGAGACCAAACACGTTATCCTTAAATTGATTATTACAAAAGCTATCCTCATAAACATTTACCATCGTCTGTGTTTCTGTTTCTTGGGTTAGACTCATCGAGTTGTTCTCTTCCTTTGTTTCCCAAAACCCATCGGTAAATCCAAAGCCGGTACCGTTCACGAATTCACAAGATTGCTCTAAATAAGATAACCCACTTTGATCAACGGAGGAGCTAGGGTTTTGATCTACTTGTGAAGAAGAATGCTCGTCATATATATGGTCGCGAGAAAAGTTAGGGTTTTGATCAACGTTAACTTGTGAAGAAGAAGAAACGTTGCCATAAATCTCGTCGAGAGAAAAGTTAGGTTTTTGATTAACTTGTGAAGAAGAAGAAGCGTTTTCATAAATCTGGTCGCGAGAAAAGTTCGGGTTTTGATCAGACCCGCAAGTAATCTCGTCGAGAGAACCAAGTTCTAGTTTTTCTTTCTTCTCAAGACATTCCATTATATACTTCTTCAATCTCTCAAGACGATCCTCTATGATATTCAACTCCGAGAGATCATCACAGTTACGATAAAGATTAGGGTCTTCCCACCAAAACCCTAATTTGGCTTGGGGGTCAAACTTCTTGGGAGGTGGCTTGCCGTTGAAGTAGCAATCAGCAATCTCGGACGAAGAAGAGTAGCCGGAAAAAGAGTATACGACATCAGAACTCTCGGCTGGAGATGTTACAAAGACGGCGATATTTGCACCGCCGAGACGACAAAGATCGGCGGATTTAGAGAAGATTGTTTTACGGCGTTTGTTGCAAGTCACCGATCGTTGTGCGTTAGTCTCACGTGTCTCAATCGGAATCTTTCTCTTTAGTCCACCTTTTTTCTTCATTGTGGAAACCTAAAAACACACTTGACGGTCACAGCTTTGAGGTTTCTTATTAGAAAGGAGAGAGAGAATGAAATCGATAAATAGAGAGAGAGAGAGAGAGAGAGAGAGAGAGAGAGAGAGAGAGGCATATTTATAGAATAAGAACCGACTAAAAGCCCAAAACAAGTATGATTACAATTTTTTATTGGGTTCCATTTTTTATAAGTGTCTAAATTACAATTATTTATTGTTTCTCTGTTGTATATGTTTTCAAATAAATGTCATTTAGACACTTATAAGAATACCTTTTTGTATAAAGAAACACTTTTCAATTAACTATTTAAAAAAACCAACGGTGGCGAGAAGAAAAAATATAAATTATTTAATAAAATATTATCATTTGATTTTTGGGAAATTCACATTTCTAAAATTCAAAGTATCATTGGGTAGCACTTTAAACCTCGAAAGAATTCCAATAACATTATAAACCATCAAAATAATTTAGCTAACACTTTAAACCTCCAAACTACATTTTCTATTTGTCCTGCCATAAAAAAATGATGGAAAATTTAATTTCTATTTGTTTAATATACATTTATTTAATTTCATTGAAATTAAAATTATTTTTATTATTTATTAAAATTAATAAAAAAGACAAAAAAAAAAAACTTCACCTTTTTGTCTACCATGAAATTTCAAAATTAAACATTTGAAACTATAGACTTAAGCACAAGAGAAATTTAAAGTATAATAATAGAAACCAAATAATGTATAATATGAGGTACAATAGAAGCTTAAATAGAATAATAAAAACCAAAGAATGTCAAAGTTAGTCAGAAAACGAAGCATTCTCCGTATCAGAGGAATCTGCTTTTTTTTTTTTTTTTACTTTTCTTAATAATCGTAAATTCATAATAAATAATAAATTAATTAAAAATTATATTAAATTAAATAAATTTATATTAATTTATATTAATTCTATCATATTTTATGGCAATGTAAACATGAAAGCTAGTTTGGAGGTTTAAAGTATTAGTAAAATTATTTTGATGGTTTATAGTGTTAGTGGAATTCTTTCGAGGTTTAAAGTGCTACCCAGTGACACTTTGAAGGTTAAAAATGTGAAATTCCCTTTGATTTTTATTGGTTTTTGATATATTTAAATAATTCATATTGTTTAAATTCAGATAATTATTTTTGTAAATTAAAGCGAGTATCTCTGAAATTGGGCCTATGGGCCATGATTTGCAATTTAACAAGAATCAGGATAACTCTATTCCAATTAGGCAACTACCAAACAACAGCATTAATAACTGAGATTAAAATCAGTAACATTCAATATTTGATTTATTGATTTGGTTTTGAAACCATTAGTTATGCACAAAGCTGCACCCAAACAATTATTTTTGCTGTATATAAAATCTGAATAACTTTAGTATATATATGTAACACTGTAAATTAGTAGCAACGAGAGTTGCTTACTTGCTTTGCCTTTATTGTCCTTTGATCTTTCCTTGTAAGTATTTCTCTACACTATACAATCCGCAAAGAGACTTCACCACAGGCATAGTTGCTGGAACCGGTACCTCAAATTCCGAATCAAACCCATCATTAATGTTCGATGAAATGGACTGTTTCCGAGCTTCCCTAATGGCTGATCTCGTTGCACAATGAACAGAAGCCGCTAAAAGCAATGGCGGCTCACCCGAAGCTGTGGATCAAATGAAGGAGTTGGTGAGTGTGAAAGTAGTGACCCACAAATACTATATGGAGTAAAATTAAAGATAACACTTCAACATTATAAGTTATAGCAAATACCTGTCTCTAAGAGTTTTTATGTAATTATGTATGTGAACAACAAGTGATAGTTTTGATAGAAACATAACAATTCGAAATGAAAATCGCGATAATAGTTATAGCTCAATCGGATAAGGAAAAGCGTAGTGTACCTTTGGAGGAGAGAACGCGGTTTTTGTGATGACCAATGTTGACAATCTCGACGTTGAAGTGTTTGGGGATTGTATCCACAGTAGGAATTTTGTAGTCCCAAGTGCCTTGTTGCACCACAAGCCCCTTCTCATCAGTAGTGTACTCTTCCATCATGAAAAACCCGATGCCTTGAACAAACGCTCCTTCGGTCTTTTCAAAAACCATTCATGTTTTTGCTTAGCTCCATAAATTGACTAAAAGGAAACAAGAAAACATGTGGAGTTAACTAAATGCTAACCTGTCCTAAATCAACTGCAGGATTAAGACTTTTTCCGCAGTCGTAAACGATATCGGATCTTAAAATATCGGTTTTTCCTGTCAAAAGGTGCACTTCCACCTGCAAGTAGAATCACATTATTGTTTGATTGATTCAAATTTTTAAAATGAATGATTTGCCATAGTGACTTGCCTCGCTCACTCCAACCCCATAGTTGAGGTATTCCATGGTAGAATACTCTGGCATATACAATGTACTCGCCGATAAATTAATATACTGAGCATACGCCTGATGAAAGAAAAATGCAAACGTTACGGTTATTCAAGCAGAATGTTTGTTATAGAGTAACTATCTGAATTTACTAGGCTACCTGTTGAATGAGCATGTTCCATGTCACGGAACCCGGCTTCTCCATTAACATCTGATCCATTGTAGGTTTTAGTCTCTCCACCAAGATAACACAGCAAAGCCTAACGGCCTCACAGCTGCTCTCGGATGTCGTGCTACCAGCAGTGAAACCTCCTTGGATCATACCGAGTGTGTCGGACTGAACAACCCGTATTCTCTCCAACAACTTTTCGCTTCCTTCGCATTTAACCATACCGAGACCATAAGCAACCATCTGTTGTACTTTGGTCCACAATCCTTGCCCTATCTCAATTCCTCCAACCTCAACCACAACAGAACCATCACTTAAAATGCTTACCTTCCCCGGGGTCGGCCTCTGCATAACTTGATGGACAATAGGTACTCGAGAAATCCCTCTCTTTCGCCATACATTACAAAGATTAAACTCTTTCACTATCTCAGCTCTTTCTTTAAATTTCGAAGATATCTCCAATTTGTCCCATAATAAAGGTAGTGTATATTCATCAAGATCACCAGAAATGTGCTTGTAGAATTTTCTGAGGCTGTCATAAGTATGAAGGTTTATCTTTCTCACCGCATCAACATCCATTTGAAGAGAAGAGGCTACATTCTCGATAATAGATTCCGCAATATAAGAACCTTGTACTTCCCCGGGAGCTCTCATCGCCGTTCTACTAGGACAATTCGTCTTGCACACTTTTACGTCAAATGACAAAGCTCCCCAATCATACTTCCTTAACGGACCCATTATATTCCGCGGCATGATTGGACTTACGTCCGGCTCAAGCCCTGCGTCTATTAGCATGGTAAGCTCCAGTGCTGTGAGCTTCCCATCTGATCTAAAACCAACATTGTAAGTTATTTTCATTGGATGCCTTCCTCCAGCCATTATCATATCGGTCTTGCGGTTCAGATACATCTTAACAGGACGTTGCAATTTGTATGCGCCTAGTGCACATGCTGTTGCAACCTGAAACATCATTTCAACGAGCATTCATGAGTGACAAGCCATATTCCAAAAACAATGTTAATGATCTTGATTTATAGAAGAAACCAATTCTGGTAAATACTTACAGGCATTGACTTTACAGCTTTACCACCAAAGCCACCTCCAACTCTTCTGGTAATGACTCGAACGTTATGCTCTTGGATGCCGAGACATGTAGCGATAACCGAATGCACGTACTCAGGTGCTTGAGATGAACTAAATACCTTGACACAATTGTCTTCATCTGGTAAGGCAAGTGCTGTTTGTGGCTCCATATAGAAGAAGTACTGTGACCCGAGCGTCAACTGAATAAATAACCAAATTTCAAACACACAAATGAGATGTGATCACACAACTTTGGCGGTGAAAATCGGAAAACAGTTGTGATACCTCGGCCGACATTATCTTTCGCTCAGCTTCTTCCATTCCTTTTATAACATCACCGACTGGTTCAGGGTAAAACATCGGATAGACCTCGAAAAAGCTAGATCTTTTAACTGCATCTTCGACAGTTAATATCGGTTGTTCTAAATTCGTTGTATCATACTCAACTACTGCAAGTTTTGCTGCCCTGTCTGCATGTTTCTGTGTGTCTGCAACCTGCAAAAGCCGTATATTTTTCGATTAGTTACACAACAAAAGACGAGCAAGAATTAAAAAAGAAGAGGAAATTGGAGTTACCACAAGAGCAATTCTTTGACCAGCACATCGAGTTAGTTCATCTGCAAATAAAGGTCCTGGTCCAAAAAGGGTCTTGGAACCAATGTTTTGTCCTTGTTCTGGAATATCCTTGAAAGTAAGAACTGCAAAAACTCCAGTAGGATTCACATTCTCTCTGAAGCTAATGCTTTTTATCTTAGCCAAAGGCTCTGTGCTATAAATGAATGCTCCATGTAAACAGTCCGGTAAAGTCGGTATATCATCAACAAAAACCGCCTCACCTGAGAGAGAAAGCTCATGTAAGGCCCTGTATTGAATCTTTACCCGTGGCTTGAACCGATATCAAGTTACTAAAAATGATGAAAACAGAAGGCATAAGAACTAACCAGAAGCTTGTAATGCAGCTCCAACTTTGATAACTGCTTCACCAATAGGTTGAAATTCATTGCTCTCTAACACTTGTTGTGAAGATGAGAGGAAGGGTAAAGATTTTGCGGTATCGACATGGCTGTTCCTATGCCCATTCTCGATCAGTGAACAGAAAAAATCGAAAAGAAATCCAACAGCCAAGCTTTTACTATATTCCGAGTGCGAGGTGTCTTTGCCAGGAACTATGATTCCTCTAAGTAAACCAACAGCTTCATATAGAACACTGTAGCTAAGTAATTTACCTGTCAAGAAATTCTCCACTTTGATCGCCCTGATTGAATGATCGCCGCCATAAGAACCAAATGCCAACAAGCATCTATCTACCGTTACATCTTTTCTTGATGGTTCTTGGCGAGACACTATCGCCAAGAAAGCAGCGTTCAAGTAAGGCAATGCATTTCCAATAGAACGAGGCGTGGCTCGATAGCTTTCAAAGAGCAATTCAGTGTCATCACCAGAAGGAGCAGTCCATGATGGTATCTCAACCTTTAAAAGAACGCGTTTGGAGTCTAATATCGGAGACAATTCAAGAAACTCTTGTAGCGTAACCTTCTCGGTTTTCCTACCATTTAACATATACACCGATGCATCTACAGCTAGCAAAAGCGTGGTAATATCAGAAGGAAACTTTCTGCTCTGAGCCATCACTAGATTACCGCCAATGCTCCCTGAGTTCCTGATAGAACGGTTTCCAATTCTCTCCATATGAGCCGCCATTTTCTTGAAAATATAAGAAGATTTGCTTTCCTCTTCCAAAGCATCAATAGCATTTGATATGGTAACAGCTGCTCCAATTTCAATTCCTTTCTCATCTTTCTTGATCATTGACATCTCCGGAATGTGACTGATATCAATATATCTATCAAACCGTTCCTCATCTTTGTAGTAACCTGTACCCGTGTTTCCCACAACGAACTTCAACGAGTCTCCAGAGTTAGCAGCATCCATTATGTTATGAAGCTCAGCTACGCTAAAAGGAGTGGTCCAACGATACCTCGAATGATCCAAACCATTATCAACCTTCTTTATCTCTCTCTTCTTCTTCTTCTTCTTCAAGAACTCAGGGAATGTTACAAGATGGTCTTTGGGGTTATAAGGAGGCAAATTCTTCAACATAACCTCTTTACTTTCTCCCTTTTTCCAAAAGGAATTAAACCCCAAGTCCTCAATATCAACATCAGTAGCAAAACTCTTACAAGCATCGACAATGGGACGATAACCAGTACATCGACAAAGACTACCGGAAACAGATTTCTCAGCTTCGGAAACCGTAAACTCTTTTGAACTGTTATTATCAGCATTTGCAAGAGCTGAGTATAGAGAAATACACATCCCTGGTGTACAAAAACCGCATTGAGAGGCATGAAAACCCGCGAACCGCTTATGAATCGGGTGAAATCCTTTCTTTGTGTTACCAAGACCTTCAGATGTAGTAATTGAACATCCATTTATACTACAGAGAAGAGTGAGACAAGAGTTTATACTACATTGCTTCACTTGATCTAACTCTGTATCATATCTTGATAACACTACAAGACAAGCACCACACCCTCCTGCACTAACCAGAGACACACATTTTATTAAAATCTATCTGAAGATACAGAACTCAGATTTGGATTCTTAAGTACTAAGTCAACTTCACTAATTCTGGTAAAGAGTAAAACATAACACAAGACATAAAGCCCCACATTCGTAATAGTTAGTGAACAATAAAGTTTCACTATAAGAGATTAAAAAGAGAAGAGAGCGAGAGAGAGATTTTGCCTTCGCCACAGCCGAGCTTGACACTCTTGAAAGGAGTGTTTAATCGCAAGAACTCGAGTAAAGTGGTTGATGGATCAACAGAATCAATCTTGAATCTTTCTCCATTGACTGCAAACTCCAAATCCATATTTTAAATAAATTGGAATCAGCAGTGACACCAATTTTGAGAAACCCAGAAAACAAGAAGTGGGTGTGGTGATTTAACCAATTAAAGAGAGAAATAAGTTTGTGACGAAGAGTTTCATTTCAGTTTGTCTTATAGTTGCGCCTCTTTCACGCACATCTCTAAGTTTGAGTTTCAGACATAACTCACAAGTCATTGTCTGTGGGCCACGAGTCAGTCTTATGGGGAAAGAATATTTGACATTTGGAAGAAATCTCAATCTAATCCAATCAATATCTTATAAATTGGAATCAAATGGTTTTTCTTTTAACCCTTCTTTTAATTATGAAATTTTCTAATTTATTTGCTCAAGAAATAAAATATATGTACAAGTGGGGGAAAAAAGAAGAAGAGTAACACGCTAGAAATCTACTGTAAAAACTTTTTTGTTTTTTTGGTCAAATATATTGTGAAAAGTAAAAACTAATATCTTCTTTTATTGATCAAGCTTACATATTATAGCCTACTAGATTCGGACCCGCACGTACGGGTGGGGTTTTGTTAACATATGATTTTCTGAGTATAAACTTATGTCATATAGGTTTTGAATGTGTGTATATCAATTTGAAATTGGTATGACTACTAAAAATAGATTTTATGTGACAGATTAGATGATTGAATATATTGGTATGGTGAACAAATCTAATCGGTCGATAATAGGTATTTGCGTATAATTTGTATAAAAATAGTCGGGTTTTGGAGAGATAAGTTTGGTGTATATCTATAAAAAAGATTGTATAATATAATATAGATAAACGTATTATCATATTTTTACAAACTTAAGAACAATTATCCAAGTTTGGTGTAAATGTTTAATTCATTTTGTTTACAACCTGTTTTTCAAAATATATTATCTTCTTATTTTTTTGGTATGTGAATATTACAATAGGATATATATCATATATGTAGTAGATTTAGTGAGATTTTTTGTTGGTGTTTTGAATGATGGTAAACTGAATTTTATTTAATGTCTGATTCTTTACAAATTTAGAATAGAATGTGAATTTATACAATTCTTTACGATTTATTTCAGAAGTTTGTATGTGTTTTTTCGGAAAAGTAAAAGTTGTTTTAGTGAACAAAAAAAAAATCTAACTACAGAAGATATTTTATTGTAATAGCTATAATATAAAGTTTAATTTTTAAAGAAACTGAATTTCTTATAATTGTATAATAATAACTATATATGGTAATGTGTGAATCTATAGTTTAATTTAATCTGGAAATAAGTTTCAGAAATCATGTAAAACAATATGTTAATTAACTGGCACATCATAATTTTACGATTTAACCTTTGAATGGGCTGAATGATATATTTATTTAGGCCCAAGTATTAAACAACCAGACAGCATTTCTTGTTGTTTCGTTTGATTTTTATTGTATTTATCCAATAATGATATCAATGTAAATAATATGAGCAGGTATTTGTTGTTAGAAAATTCGTTGTCTTATTACCAAAAAAGAAAAAAAAATCACCGAACAAAATGAAGAACATCGTTGGTTTCTCAGAAATCAAATGCGAAATTCTTTTAGAGACATCATTACTTCGTCTCCGTTTATACTTGTACTTGTTCAATTCGTGAATCCTATGAAGAAGTAAGCTTTTTATTTATTCAGATCTACACTTTTACATTTTTGTATATGTCGATTCAATTGCAATCTTTTAAATTTTTCAGTTTTAATTGTATAGATTCGCAACGGATTGTCAAGAAGCCGACTGTTATATGGGTAATTATCCTAATTGTCAATTGATTATGAAAAAAGGTTTTCACTCAATTTTTATACGAATACGAATTTGATTTACAGTAATTTTTAATCTTCATTTAGAGAAAGAAGTTGATTAGTTAATCTCGAGAATACTAAGCTATTATAAGTTTTAAACCAACAAATTTTGTATAGTTTGTATAAACTGTGTCCGGAACATTGTGTTTTTGTCTATACAGGTGAAGGATGATTCGCGTTAAATATAAGACCATGGAGGAGGGAATGTGATTTTGTTATTAAATTATGCAGTATATATGTAAAAGGTTAGTGAGATTTGCAGATTTACATACTGTTATTGACTTTATAAGTTTAGTTACTTCATATTCACCATATAGATTGTTTTGGCATAGTATGTATTAAGGTGAAGGATGATTTGCGAGTAATATGAGACTCTGGAGGAGCTACAGTAGCTATTTAGAAATATATATATATATGTTGCAGGTTAGTGAGATCTCAATTTTTAAACTTTTGATTATTAGATTGACCTATTGTTATTGAGTTTAATTAACTTAGTTCATATAAACTTTATGGTATTGTCTACTAAGACTTTAAAAATTCAGTTATGTTAATAACAAAGTTCAATGTTTTTAAGGTGAAGCATACTTTGCAAGTAACATAAGAATGTGGAGAAGGGAAGAGATATTTTGTCATTGGAGATATCCAGAAATCTATATTTAAAAGGTTAGTGAGAAAATTATTTTTACACTATAGTTCATATTCATATTCTGTCTTAGTATGTTTAGCTAAAAGTAGTATATATATAATATTAAAATTCGTCTTAGTATGTTAATTGAAAGTAGTATATAATATCAAAACTACTTAACTTTCTGAAAAGTTTTTTGGTAATCAGTATTCGTCTTGGATTGCTATTGAAAATTTTCTAGTTTACATAATAAAACTGGAAACTTTTCTTTCCCTCAGTAATTCTGTTTAAAATATAATGCTATAGATTCTGGAGGAATGAAATGAGTAAAATAACACTTAGTTTGAGAAACTGATAAGAATATTGAATGTATGCAATAAAATGTAAAACGATTGCTTCTCTTTAAGATGATTTCGTTGACTCTCTCTTTTTCTGACTCTGGTCGGTCCCATGTTTTAACTTTACATAATATAACAATATAGTTATAGTAATTCAGTGAATTAGATCAGAACCAAAATTAAATCACTGAGGCAATAATTATTTTTGTTACCTCTTTACATAAACTCTCTGCTAAACACTTCTTTGAACACCACATTCATCGTTTGCTTCTGTGGTTTCCCGTCTTTGTCTACTATGAGCACCTTTAGTCCTTTCTTAGTCCTTTCTTAGAAGTTATTCTAGAGATTGCAACATAGAGATGTCAATGTGAAAAAATTCTTTTCTTAGAAGCCATTTTCTTAACGATAAAAGAAGATGAAAATGAAGTAAAGCTTTGAATGATTGTGAGTTCTGAGAGGTGTAATCGAGTTTACTATATATACTATTAACAGATATAGCTCTCGTTTTTAGGGTTTACTTTGTAAACAGGAAAATATATTTGCGTATCAGAATTTAAAACAATCCTTAATCGAATATGCTTGATTTGATAGGATTAAAATATTTTGTTTTCTTTAAATTAGGCACATCTAATAACTAAGATTAGATCTTATTGAAAACAGTTACTACAAAATTGGATGTCTTCCTTATATTTGGTGATTTCTTTTGCATCTTTCTTAAAAACAGTTGTGCGAATATATATATAGCTTTATTTATTTGATTGTCAAAGATTTCTAAATTACTATAGAGTTAAGTAATTAGATTTGTTAGTTATATAGATTATAGAAATCTCTTTAAATCTAAACTAATATTTTTGGCAATTATTTTCTGTAACAGATGCAAACAGATGCAGAGAATATCGGAGTGAAATATTTTCCAACATTTATGAACAATCAAAACGGGTTGAATCTAAGATACGCGTCTAGGACGTATGACGATGCATAGGGTCCGCGTTTTTATCCGAGAAAATAACCCAGGATCCGCGTCTTGTATCTCATCAAATTGTCTTATTTAACCTTCCACGAGATTTTTAATTTTCCCTTTAAATTCAAAAATACCAATGGCATTGTTTGTAATTATTCGATAAAGTAAAGGTTATTTTTTACCCAATGCTTCCCAATTAATAGAATAGATATAACTTATTTCTAACTCAAAAACTTGAAGTATAGTGAGATAAAGACTTGATTTTTCTAACCAGTAAACAAAAAAAATCATCTACAACAATAGTTTTGATTTTGTATTTTCAAAATAACGTTATTTTAGTTATGTAAAGTCAAGTCTCGGTAACACGTTGGACATGTGACATCTGACTCCGCATAAACTACAAGTTGACTAACACCGTTTCATTCAATGTTGATTTTGACTTAGAAAGTCGGTTATTTCGTACACAATCTAATCATCAATGTTTAATTCATACCTAACCGTTTTCTATATGCTAATACATATCTAACCTTTTAAAACATTCAAATTTCAAACCCAAATTTATTAAATCGTATGAAATCATGATGATGCGGTTGCCACATCATCATTTTGTTAAACAAAATTGAATTTTTTTTTTCTTTTCCGTTTTTTCTTCTCTATCACTTTCATCTGGAGGAACTATGAAAATTACAATAATATTATTAAATCCCTATTTTAAGAACAAAATATAATACTCATTAATGGTTATATTGATCTTAACTTATATCTATGTATCCAAATAATCCTAGTTGCTAATGACAATTTATAAAAATTGTATTTTATTCTTAAAATGACAATACATGTAAAAAATAGTTTCAAAGATCAATATATAAGATTATTGTAGGGTTTATATTCTTCACTAAAAGAAAAAAGAAAAAGGGGAAGAGAAAGAAAAATTTTTATTTTTGTTTTACAAATGGTCGACTTTCCGTTTGACTTACGGCTATTCATATACATTAATTATAGGGAGAGTTACTAGATTAACCCAAATTTTGACTTTAATTAGAGCATGATTATAGGTACTATCTTAAGAAAATCTTAAGATTATGTTAGCATTTAATTGATTATATTTATTCCCAAAAGTGCATTTAAGGTAAGAAGTGTTTCTTAGCTAAAGAACAAAAAAAATGCTAAGAGGTGGAACAAAAAAAATATTACTTAAATATTCTTAAGAAGTATTATTAAGAGCCCTTGGATAATCATGTTCTTACTAGATTGACTCACAAATAATTTGGGTTAAATGAGTTATTTTCATGCCTAAAATACCCTTGTCTCATGTGTAAAAAAAAAAATACAAAAATACCCTTCATAAAAAATTCCAACAATTTAAAAAAAATCAGCTATCTAGTTGTGACAGATTAATTTATAAACTGCAGACTTATTAGTCTGTGACAAATTTTTAGAATTTGGTTACGACAGAATTACCGAATTTTAGCAGATTTGTTTTTCTTGACAGATTTTTTTTCATTCAACCACAGATTTTAACAATTTGTGACAAACTTATTTTAATGTCTGAATGATTTAATTTGTAAGAAGCGGCAGATTTATTATTTTCGAAAAAAAACTGTCATGTTGTAACAGATTTAATGATTAAAAATTAATAACTAGATTGACGTCTTATGGTAGCATATTTGTTATATGTTATGACAGATTTTTATAATGTTACCATAAATCTGTCGTGTTACAACATATTTGTTTTTCAAAATATAATTTTTTATGTTATGACAGACTTGTTTTATGTTACGACAGATTAAATTATATTACCACAAATCTGTCGTTTGATGGCAGATTTGTTAAAGTAAAAAAGAATTGCTGGAATGATCTTTATAATTTTGTATGTTACGACAAATTTGTAATTATGAACCCCTTTGATAACAGTGTTTTTTTTTGGCAAATTTTTTTGCTATAATAATATTTACAGTGGTGACATTTTTTTTCCTTGTAATGACAGACTTATTAGAGCAGTTACCATATTTACCACTAAAACATTAAATGTCGACATCTAGGGTTTTTGTAAAAAAAAAAAACGTGGCCTCCTTAGTTTTTGTGAAAAAAATGTGGCTTCATGAGAGGAAAGTATGATTTTTGGAAAATAAGATGACCGAAATTGAGTTTGTGTTTGCTTTAGTTGTTTTGTTTCTTAATTTTTCTGTTTTTTTTTAATATTCAGAAATCAAATAATTTTTTTTTTTTTTTTGTGAATAGAAATGTTGTAGAAATCTTGATTAAGGTTAATTGGTCTTTTTACACAAAATTTGTGTTAGTCTAGTTATCCATCACTAATGAGAGTCATTTTAGTTATTATTGCCCAGTTTTGAGTCAATATGGGTAATTTTCACTTATTTATATATATATTTAAAATCATGTTCAAATTAATATAATATTAGTTTGTGTGTTAAAAATACGTGATAAAAATTATTCAAGTTGAACTTATCTGTTTTTCCCTACTATTCAAGTATTTATAATCAAAAATCACAATGAAAAAACATTAATCAAAACTAAAATGAAATCCAGATTGAACTATATCAATAATATTCAACAATGAAATAGCATTTTCTAATATTTATTAAAACAATGGCATAGAAGAGATTTATGATCTATGAAAATTTAACATATGAGATTGATATTGCATGAATGTGTGGCTATATTTGTTTTTTTTTGTTTTTTTTTTGTGGAATTTCAATGTTACAATAAAGACTTAACAACGAACGAGTCTTACGCTTTCACATGTAGAATGAGAAAAAATATATAAAATGTGTAAAACCAGAATTTAAGGAGATAGGTTGCTTAAGTTAGATAAGTTTGAATGTGACATATATTGAACTTCTAAAAAATATATATAGGAGTATACTTTGCAATTTGTTTTTCACTTTTAAAACACCATCAATTCAACACCTACAATGAAGAACATATTTCAACTTTCACTCACCATTCTAATTTTCTTCATCATTCTTCAGCTAGGTTTGTATTTACATTTAAATTCTGCCTTAATATATTAAGTATATATTTTCAACAGAAACTAAAAACGAATATCGTGATATTTTTAAAAGGCCCTTCTTTCATCTACACAATTTATATAAAATATAGTTCAACTGTGTTATGTAAAATCTATGTACAAGTTATTTTTCGGCACATAATTTTGTAATACTGAATGTAGTTCTCTCAAAGTCAAATCCAAATAAAACTTAGAAAATAAAAAATAAAGTTTAACTATTTTAATCTAGACCTAGAAAACTGATATACAATTAAAGGTAATTTTATAATTTTTTTCACCTGATTTAGCTAGTTTCTCTCATTTTAAAAACAAGTAATTTTTTTTATTATATTCTGAAGAATTATTATAATGTGATTTGATTAAATAAACGTCCATTTTTTATTTTTCCATAAGTTATTTACTTATTTTGCTTTATTTTGCATGAAAAAGTTTTAAATTACATTTTTCTTACAAATATTTGCTTTGTTTTGCAAATAATTTATCCTTAAATTTATATGATATTTGCTAATTACACACACACACATATATATATATATATATATATATTAGTTGTTATGTTATGGTTTATCAAGAATAGTCAATGAATCCTTCACCAAAAAAAGAATAGTCAATGGATCACATAAAATATATTTGAGACCATCCTCAATGCAGCAACTTTTACACTGATCTTGGGTATAAAAAAATAGAAAAAATTCAAATAGTAGAGGAACATGGGGAGAAACGGTCTTGAGCAAGATCTGGTCTTGAGCATTGATCTTGACTTATATATATATTTTTCTCTCTTTCTCTCTCTTATCTCATTATAATATTATTACTTCATTTGTTTATTATTATAATTACTTTAAGATCAGTTGTGCGATTGATGATGACCATAAGTATCGCAGCAACACAAGTAGTGTTCTTAGGTATTAAAAATTTGAAAAAATTCAAACAGTAGAAGACGAACCTGAATTGCGATCTTCTGGAAGATCTGTTCTAATACAAGTTATGAGCCACGTGTCTGAAAAGTATTGGTTCCATAATTTCCTCTCTTCCTTCTTTTTTTTTTCTTCTCTCTCTTAGAATGTTTTAAGATTATTTTACACCTAAGATCAATCTTCAAAGTTACATGGATGCATATGCCCTTATAAATTAGAATACTAGATAGTAATTTACGAAAAACTCTTTAAACTTTTCTTATTTCATATCCTTTTTTATATATTTTTTTGTGCAACATCCTTTTTTATATATATAGTTACTAAAAGTATAGTTACTAAAAGTTGTGTTCTAAATACAAATCAAACAGGAGTATTGGGAAATGTGCAACAAGGAAGACGAGAAATTCGAGAACAATGCATTATTGATATTCCAAAAAAATCTGGAAAATGTGTTGAAACAGAATGTCAATCTGCGTGTACCAAGATGAAGAATGCCGTTGCCATTATTTTTGCCCTTAATTTATTTATGTGTATAGAAAACTTAAGTTATAGAAAAATAAAAAACTTAAGTTAAAGTTAATAATAAAATATCTTTCTAATGGTGTGACTTAAACCTTGAGTTAATCTTTTGACCTATTATTTATTATATATTTTTAATAATAAAACACTGGCTTTAATTTGTTCAAAAAAAAAAAAAAAAAAAAAAAAAAAAACACTGGCTTTAATATTTTGTATTAGTATCGTTATAAAGTTATAACATGGATTTTGAACCTTGTAATATGTGTGTTTAAGTAGTGGTTGCTAAGAAAATATCTTTGAGATAGATGTTATTATAAAGTGACTTAAAATCTATGTAGTATCTGTAAGGTTTTATTGGGGTAAAATTTATAAGGTTTATGAGATTTTATATGCCACTATTTTTACTAATTTATAGTAGTCTACTGTAAAAACTAATATAGTCACTTATTTATCAAGCCTACATATTATGGCCTATGTAACTTGTTTCTAACTCAGAGTGTGGTGAGATAAAGACATAGAAGAGATTTATGATCTATTAAAATTTAACATATGAGATTTAATATTGCATGAATATGTGGCTATATTTGTTTTTTTTTTTCTTTTGGAATTTCAATGTTTCCATTTAAATAGGAAAATGTGTTAAAAACTTTCAATAAAGACAAACAACAAACGAGTCTAAGGGGGGTGTATTGAATTAAATATTTGGAGAGGTTTGGTGGAATTTCTATATTTTAGGTTTTGGAGAGATTTGAATAAAATTTTAGGATGGTTGGGTTGATTTGTTTAATTTCTATTTTTTTAAAAACAAAAATCATTAGTGATTTGATGAGATTTATTGAAAGGATTTGGGAGAATTTAGTATATAAAAAAAAAAAAAAAGTCAACGATATTCTTTTTTTTTAAATAACTATGCTTTTCTATTTTGTTATCCTCTCCTTTGCCAAACGTACGGTGTGTCACATTACTCACATTTTTTTGGATGTAGCTCTACCGCTGGATTCAATTTAATGATCAATCAATAACTAATAGTCTCAAGTCTCAACATGTCAATAGAAATAATAAAAAACAATCTAAAGATATAACATAAAACGTATAGCATCATGATTCCATATTCATAGCATATGTCCACATGTTCTCTGCTATTGTTGCTCTCCAATTATTAGCAAGTACTCTTTGTTGTTACAAGTGGATTCGATTGAATACTTGAGAATGCTTGATATGAGAGAGTGAGAGAGAACTTGAAAGTAAAATCGAGATCGAGAGAGATAGAAAGACAAGAAGGAAGAGAGAAAATTGAAAGAGATAGAAAGACGAGAAGGAAGAGAAAAATTTGAACCAGTCGTTGGCATGCTTTTTTGGACTTTTTTTTAAACCAAATACCACATTTAGAGGTGGTATTTTTTTTATTATTATTTTTGCACTAAAAAAGTGTCCAAAGTCTCTCCAAATCTATTTTCAGTATTTTTCTTTAAAAAAATTGTGAAGTTTGAATAACAGTGGATTTGCTTTGGTTTTTCTAAATTCTTAATTGAATAACAAGAGATTTAGAATTATTTGAAGTGATTTATATAAATTCCAGTTTCAATAACATGGAATTTGGGAAGAGATTTCAAAATCACTAATTGAATAACAGGTGATTTTAACAAAAAACCAAAAATTTTAAAAATCACTGTTTGAATACACCCCCCTAAAGCTTTAATATATAGAATGAGAAAAATATATACAAATTGTGTAAAACCGGAATTTAAGGAGATAGGATTCTTAAGTTAGATAAGTTTGAATGTGAGGTACATTGAACTTCTAAAAAAAGTATATATATATATACTTTGTAATTTGTTTTCACTTTTAAAACACCATCAATATTCGTAACACCTACTAGGATGAAGAACCGATTTCAACTTTCACTCATCATTCTAACTTTCTTCATCATTCTTGAGCTAGGTTTGTATTTACATTTAAAATTTACCTTAATATATTAAATATATATTTTTCAACCGAAAATAATAATGAATATTGTGATATATATATATTGACAGTATTGTGAAATTTCTTTAAAAGTTCCTTCTGTCAACTATACAATTTTTTAAAATATCAATTCAACAATGTTATGTAAAATCTATGTAATCTGTAATACTGAATTTAGTTCTGTCAAAGTCAAATTAAATCCAAATCAATCTTAGAAAATAAAGTTTTAAGTATTTTGATCTCTAAACCTATTGATATACAATTAGAAATGTTTTCACCTATTTTGGTTAGTTCATCTCATTTAAAAAAAAAAGTATTTGGTCTTATTATATTATGAAGAATTGTTATAATATGAATTAATTAAAGAAACTTTTTTTATCAATAGTTATTTTACTTTATTTTGCATGAAAACATATTTCATAAATATTGATGTTGTTAAGATTGCCTTCCTTATATCTATATGATATTTTTGAATTACTTATATATATATATATATATAATTCTTACTTTTTATTTATTTCATATGTTATGGTACGGTTTATCAAGAATAATATCAACACAAATTTTTTTTTTTATATATGAATCTTTTCTGATTTTTTTTATAGTAAATAAATCTTTTCTTCCTTCATATATAGTTACTAAGATTTAAGTTGTAAATATGACACAAACAGGAGTAATGGGAAATGTGCAACAAGGAAAACGAGAACAATGCCATACTAATATTCCTAACAAATCTGGAAAATGTATTTATACGGAATGTATTTGCCTTCCTCCTAAGACATGTCAGAAGCTGAAGAAGGGCCCTGTTGCTAGTATTTGCCTTCCTCCTAAGACGTGCCGCTGGTATCATTTTTGCTCTTAATTGATTTCTATTTATAATAAAACTTGAGTTTTATTTAATTAAAAAAATAAGAAAATACTTTTGAGAAGTTGTGAATCTATAAGATTGATTTTAAACCTTGTAATATGAGTGGTTTAAATAGTGGTTTAACAAAAAAAAAATATCTTTATGATAAAAATAGTTACATTAATTGATGTCAAAAAAAAATTACGACTATGAACGTAACATGTTGGAAGTTCGTAATGATTCTACCTTTGAATTTTAAGAATATACAGTATATTGCTTCTAGTGAAATAATTAAGGACTAATATATTTGATCAATACTATATTGTTGGTTGAAAGATTCATCAGTTTTCGTAATTTATAATCATAGTTGATAAGTAAATTTAATCCAAAACATTTACATATGGGATTCAAAGGTTTAAATATTAACAATCTATACTATTAATTGGGAATCACTAAATAATAAAAAACCTTTAAGTTGTAAAATATTACATAGGATGCCACTGTTTTTTTATAATTTGAAGAAGAAAAAAAAACAATTAAAAAGGGTAATTGTGACAATTTGATTATAAAAAGCCAGCGGATCTTGGGTTGACCCGTTGGTATGAATCGAATATACACGCGGATCTTGGATTTCTATTTTTAAAAAAAAATCGAAATTAAATCAATAAATTAATAATAGCTGTCCTATATTTTTGGAAATGGTTTTAAAAAGATTCCATAATATATCAAGCTGTTTAATTCAAAATTGTATATATGTAAACTTATTTATTTTAGTAATATATTATTAAATATTTCCGGTAATCTAATTTATTAACAAATTATATTTTAAAACATTCCTTAACAAAACTATATATGCTAATTAATTCTGATTAGCACACATGAAAAAACAATTTTAAAATTTGATTTTCCAAATATGAAAAATATTTAGTATATTTTTTCATATAATCTAACTAAATACTTCCATCCTTTAAAATATAGCATATTCAACAAATAATTTTTGGATTTTAGATTTCTAAATATCTAGAAAATATTTCCTGTATAGATTTAAATATTTTACATTTTAATTATATAATTCAAATTTATTATAGTGATATAAATTTAAAATAATGAAAATTTTTAAAAAGATATTTTTAAAATGAAATATAATAGTTACTATATTTCCAAATTATTTTATTTAGAGCCCAATAAATTATTATATTTCAAATCAAATAAATTATTTTATTTCGTATCAAATTGTTACACACTTTTGGAATAAAAAATCTTCTAAATTCGCTTTTTTCAAAAATCATTAAAATATAATTTAAATACCAATATTTTAATTTCAATGCAAATGTTTCAAAATGAGAAAATATTGATTCACACCAATATACTTATTTTTTATATAAAATAGAATCTCTTCTTTTTTGGAAAAAACATTAATAAGATTTTTTAACAGCTCATTAATTGTCTTTGAACAATCATTTATTTGGTAAGTTGTATTTGAACAATCATAATTACCATATTTGCGAAATTGCATAAGGATAAGTTTAATGGATAAATACCAAAATCGTTGAGATCATAGAAAATTTAAGATTTTTTTTAATATTTTCGTCATCATAAATTTAAAATATGCAATTAAGATTGGTTTTTTTTTTGGTAAAGATTGAATCCACAAATTGAAACCTAATTTTGTGTACAAATCTATTTCCTAGAATTTTGTGTATATAAATATTATGCATTTATGCATACATCCAAAATAACTAATATAAATTACAAGCTGTTAAAAATATTTACACATAAATACAATTAATTCAAATGATTATCTAAAATTTATTTACATTAAACCCTCTCTCATTTTAAGATTTTGTTAAGATTCGTTTTTAAAAATTATGGAGCAAGTTTATCAAATAAATTTAAAATATCTATATTTAATAAATTTGTCTTATATTAGAAATGCATTCTCTTATGGGACATGAATTGTGGAACGGGTATAGGATATAATGGAACATGGCGAAACCAAATGAAATTACGCCCACCTCTAAATATTTGTATTTGTTAATCATTTTTAACGGTTTCATATACAGTTTGATAGTTCACAAGTTTAATACAAATCTAACTAACCGTTAATCCGGTTCAATTTGATCCCGTCCGACCGCTGAGTGGTTGAATTTTAAAATATTGCTGAAACAATTATTATTTCAACTATTCAAACATTAATAAGCTACATTAAAACCAAACTGAAAATTAAACTAAATACCCAACTGATATGAATTTGGGTTATAAATACTATATAAAATATATTTGTTTACATCAATCTAACCTATATTATATTTCAATCTAAGATTTTTTCTAATCTACTCCTCAGTTTCAAACACGAAAATTTGACATATGGTTCACAACATTGGCTATTGTGTCATAAACAACATAAATAGCATTCTACACTTTTTTGATACATTATAATTTATATATTACAATATTTACTAAAAAAATAAATAATCTGTATTTACTAAAAAATAAATAATCTGTATTTACTAAAAGTTTATTACAACACATTTCTTAAGATATGAAACCTCGCACGTACGTGCGGGTCAACATCTAGTATCTTCTTAATTAAGATGTTCAATATCTCCCTCTGTCCCAATATATAAGATGTTTTAGATCTTTTTATTTGTTCCATTATATAAGATTTTCTCTACTTTCAATGCATAATTTATATTAGTTTAATAGTTTTTAATTATTTTAATTATGCAGTATCTTCTTCTATTGGTTGAATTTTCATAAATGAGAAAATATTTCTTGTTTCTTAATCTCTGTGTTTTTAGTCCAAACATCTAATAAAATGGGACCGAGGGAATAGTAAAATCTTTAGGAGAGACATGAACTTGGGTTTGCTATTTGTAGATGTTTTTGCACGTTGTCTAATAAACTTAGGAGAGACATTAAATTATTTTAGAGAAAAGCATCATCCTCGTTGGTCCTCCAATCTTAACAGCAGAAACTTATTATTTGTTCTCTACATGAAGCCATCTCCACAAAGCAAGGCATTTCTCCTATTTTTACAATTTTATTTTCTTCACCTTTTTGAGAATTGGGAAATAAAGTTGTTAAAAATGCATATCAAAAGGAAAGAACTTTATAGAAAGGGATCATAATAGATAGGCAAAGTTAAGGAATAACCCAATATCAAAGAAAACAACTTAGAAAATTCATCTTTTCATTGGTATATAATGAAATCGCATAGATACTCTCTTGTATCAACATAACACAAAATCCTCTTATTCCAAATTCAAACCAAGAAATTAAGAGATGGAGAGAATTTCTGATCATGCTAATGCTAATCGCATCTACGATGAATTCGAGCCACTCTCAAATTGGAAAACTGAACAAGGATTCGAAACTCTCACTGTTTACCTTCCAGGTTTGATTACTCAACAACCTCTACCATTGTTTTCGTCGTAATTTTTGTTTATGAACCGGTTCTTGAATTGTGTTAAACGTTTCTTGAGATAAACAGGGTTTAGGAAAGAGCAGCTTAAGGTGCAAGTAACCACCACGAGGAAGCTGAGAGTGATGGGAGATCGTCCAGCAGGAGCCAACAAATGGATCCGTTTCCGCAAAGAGTTTCCTATTCCGCCAAACATCGACGTTGACTCTGTCTCTGCCAAATTCGAAGGTGCAAATCTCGTTGTGAGGCTTCCTAGATCCGAGCCAATGGGTAAACAAACTTCCCCTATAATTGGTACAGCCACAAAACCACCTCCAGTTCCTAAGGAAAATCCCAAGCTTCCTAGCCAGGCAGCAAAAGAGAAGGTCCAACCACCAGATGAAACAAGAGAGAGAGAAGCGGAACTAGAAAAACAGGCCGAGAAGATTCGATCGCCAAAGCCAGCAAGAGAGAATGAAGAAGCTCTTAACCAAGATTATAGAAGTAAAGTGAATGAATACAAGGAAAATCTTGGAGGATATGTTGCACTGATGAAGAATAACAGAACAGCACTTACAGCTGGTGTGGTTGTTCCCGCGGCTGCGGTTCTGTTGCTCTCTCTTGGATTCTATGCCGGCCAAATGTTTACTTCTTAATTCTTATTTACCTATTCGCAGGATTCTCAAAGGCAGATAAAATGTACTAAAACTTGCATATAAAACAAATCATATTAATAAACAAACCACCCCAACATGAAAAAAACAAATGTTGTTCTGAATCATAAGAAACTTACGCTAGAACCACGGTAGATAGTTTCCAGTAAACACATTTTCCAAAACACAAACTTACCAATCTCACCTAAGACAAGACAGCTAGAACTTAAACAGCTTATCAATTGTCTGATTCTTTTGTAGTCTTACCTCCAACTCTTTCCACTGAGTCATGCAAGCAATATGATCATGAAAATTTTCATGTTCTTTGAGCCTAGTCGAAAGCTGCTTCCAATTATTGTACCCCGTTGTTGCCAAGTTACCACCACTGTTTTTCTCATGTCTGAACAACTTGCAGCAAAAACAGAAAACTTTATCTAAAGTTTCGGAGTAAACCAACCATCGCCGATCTTGTTTTTCTCCATTTACCATTTCTCTCGTGTAGAAAGCTTGAGAGAAATGTCTACCAATACTATCCTTAGGAAACTTATAATCAGTTGATAGTCTTATCGTTGGACCGTTTTCAACCAATAAATCTCTCAATTTCATATCAACATTTCCCCAATTTCCAGGATCAGAAATATCTTCACAAACATCTTTCTTCCTCTCTTCACTTCCCTTGCTTTGATACACAACCCGTTTTTGCTTCTCTTTACATACATCCAAATGTTCAGGAACAACGTTGCTCTGACCGATATCATCGACATCTATGTTCTCGTTTATTCGAGAAGAATCGACAACTGTTTCAACTCTGCTAGAGTTTTCGGGTTGCTTCTCTTTACATTCATCCAAATTTTCAGGAACAACGTTGCTCTGACCAACAACTGTTTCAACTCTGCTAGAACTTTGAGGTTTCTTCTTAACAAACTTTAAGATAGCATTGGCTTGGGACTTCAAAAATTGTTGCTGCTTCTTTCTTTTTTTTCTTTTTAAAGCTCCAGATGCTTCTTTTTTCATACTCAATGGTGGCATTCTTCTACATATAACAAAAATGTATTTATAAATACATACTCTAAATGCTTAATTGTTCGAACTATCTTATATTCTATATCTCATACAAATCAACAAAGGTGTTGTTGTAATTGGTTACTTCTGCTTGACTATATCCAAAATTACCCATCGCATACAGATATGAATCTCACGTACCTTAAGAGAAGATGAAAAAAATTCACCGAATCAGTCGTCACTCGTCACAACAGAGAACCCACCTTGTTTTCGCCGTTTAGGGTTTAAGATTTTTCGTTTTGGCTCCAAATGGTAAAAATCCAATCCTTGAGAAAATGATTGTAATAAAAATAAAGATGGAAAACTTTTATAAATATGGGCCGCCTCTAAAACGATTAGTTGTGTGTTGTGGGCTTAGTTGTGTTAGAATATGTTACCCAAAAGAAATTAGAGGCTTTTTTTTCCGAATTCGATTTTGGTAAAATTCTGATTAATTTTTCTACCAAAGTAGTTAATATATTTGGAAAAAAAGAAAAAAAATAATTAATCTATTTCTTACTCATAAGAATTTTTCAAAATACTTTTATATTATAAACAATAGAAGAAACAAAAAATATAAGTTACACAATGATCGTATGTCTAAAGCAAATATATGTACCACTTAAGTTTTTTTTTTAATATATTTAACTAGATGAGCACCCGTACTACAGTACGGGTTGAATTTCATTTATTACAAAATTAATAAATTTTATGTTTTACAATAAAGTTGTGATATATTATAATAGTAAGTAAAAAATAATATTTTTTTGTCAGTCCCTATATATAATATTAGAATGAATATACTTTCATTTTTCTATAGTATTCAATTATGGATATTTTTTTTTAAGATACAAAAACGTAAAATAAGATTATTTTAAAAAAAAAATAATATTGTTTGAACAATGAGTTAATTTATGTTAACAACCGCAAAATGAGATTGCATATAATTTAGTTAGATCAAAAATCAAAATATCATAAATGAATCGCATCTAAAACGTAGATTATTTTGAGGTAGCTATTATTTTGAATTAATTTAGGAAATTATTTTTTCAAATTCTGATTCATTGGTTGTTGAAATAGAGATTTGTTTAAGCTAATTACGGAATTTACCAATTATTCACATAATCAAATATGTTATGAACATATATTTGATATATAATAATATCAAATTTAATCCGTGTGTGGAGTCTATATTTTCATTTTACAATCCCTATGAAAATATTGCGGCACAATCTATTATTTATTATTTTCAAAATTGCTTGCAGAATCAAATTTTCAAATATTTAGAAGTGTCAAACCTTAAATAACTCATCTCATCATAAAATCTTAAAATGTCGTCTGTTATAAGGATCATAACTTTTACCATATAATACATTACATTTAACATGCCGCCTACTATAAATATTTTAAACATATCTTTTTAGAAAATCAAATTAATATATTTATAATTTTTTTATCTTTTTAATCTATTAAATATTTATGATATTCTTTAATATATTAAATTAAACTTTTTTGGAATGTTCCAAAATAAAATCTTTAAATTTTTTTATTGTAGTATGTAAAATTATGATTTAAAAAAAATGATATGAAATTAAATATAAATATTCAAATAGTTATAAGGATCATAACTCATTTCATCATATAATATATTATATTCAACATGCCGCCTATTATAAATATTTGTTTCAAAAAATCAAATTAGAGTATTTATACTTCATAAATTTTTGATCTATTAAGTATTGATGATATTAAAAAAAAAGAATACATTACTCAAATATGAATTTTTGACCCGTTAAATTTGTTATCTCATACATTGAATAATTTATATTCGTTTTTAAAAAATCAAATCTTGGTATATGCGAAAAAAATTTACTTTTTTTTTTTATTATATTGATGATATGATGATTTATTTATTTATAGAAATATAATCATATAAAGATGAAAGGTGGAGTATAATGATTAATAAGAAATTAATATGGTAAGTTAGATATCAAATCTTATATGTTCATTTTGATTGGTCATTCTTTTTAAAGAAATTAATAATAGATTTTCGTTTTTATAATTAAATTAAATTAATTAAATTGTATAAAATAGTATTTGACTTGTTTATCCTTAATGAGTTGAATTAATTTACTCTATAAAAATTTATTTCTAATGGCATTCTTAAGTAAATTCTTACAAATGAGAAGGTTAATTAAGGATAATTGTAAATTGTACTCCCCAAATAATAGTATACGATACCACAACTAAAATCCTACAGCCACATTCCAAAATTACAACTAAAATAAAATCCAAAATTTTCATTTGTTACAATTAAATTTGGCAGATTCATGGATCCAATTCAATTCAGTGAGATCTTTCATTCATATTTTTTTCCACCAAGAACGTTTTAGAAAACTCTTGGACCCTCGAATATTTAGTATCCTACTTTTGCGCAATTCACATAGTTCTACAATCGGACATCGTTTCTATTCGGTTTAGTTTAGTATATAAAAACGAAATTGATCAAGACGAAAATCAAACGCATCTTCGTTTGGTAATTGATATTAAAATAAAGTATTAAAGAAATGTTAACTCAAATTAGTCAGATCAAACATTTACAAGAACTTAGGGGTATTCATTTTGTATCAGAACGGAAAATAGCTGGGAAAACGGCCAAAATCCACCCAGACTATTTGCTGGCGGCTTTTTTCAACCCGAACTTTGATTCCCTGCATAAATCAACCCCGACTACATATAAATTCAAATTCCAAACCCAGACTATATAATTTTTTGCCGATTTCAACATCTGCTTTGACGGCGTGATGAAACCGTTAAACTGTGCCGAGTCAGCGACTACGTGGCATCACTCGTGGCCTCTGGGCTTGATAAAGCGACGTCGTTTAACATTTGGTTTGGTGTTTCAATAACAAAACGACGCCGTTTTAAAATTGGGGGAAAAAATTAAAATTGGTTCTTAGAAACATTAGTGAAACGGAGAGAGTGTGAGTGAGTTTGAAGAGAAACATCTCAATTCAAAACGAAACTGTGTCTAATAATCGAAGAAGCGAATTCTTGTTTGACGAAAACGACTTCCAAGCTACAATTTTGGGTCTTTGAGAAGAGAGGATGAGGTAATGAGTAGTTTCTTCTTTCTTTGTTTATGTCAATTTAATTTGTTAAGTCTAAATTCTATGATATTTTCGTATTAGAATCATTCTTTTTTTCAATTTACATATAAAGCAAGTCTCAGCAACTTCAATTTCTTCATGGTAGAGTTCGATTTTAATTAACCCTCCAAGTGTTCGATGAAATGTCTGAGAGAGTTGTAATTGGGTTGAATGTTAATTTTTTGATGTCGTTTGCAGTACTATGGATGTGGCAACATTCAGTGTGTACTACGGTGGGAATTGGGTGACTAGTGAAGATGAGGAGGATGCTTATATCGGTGGAGAGGTGAAGATAGTAGAGTGTAAACCGGAGGAATTTTATACAAAATTAGGGTCTGAACTGGGTGAAGCATTTTATGGGAAGAAAGTGTCCTATAATTACCCTTATGAAGACAGCAAGGAGCGAAAGCTATTGTGTGAGAGGGATTCTAGTTTGAAGAAGATGTGTGATGGGGCTCGATGGGTGAAGTTTGTTAATGTTTATCTAGTTGATTCTGAAGGAGATGAGGAGATTGGTGCTGAACCTTGTGAGGAAGAGCTGAGAGTAGAAAGAAATGTGGCTAACTTTATTGATGAGGATGATGATGAACAGTTTGATTATCATAATACTCCTCCAAATTCTGACGATGAAGGTAGAGAGGAAGATGAAGTAAAGTATGTGAGATGTAAAAGAGGAAGTGGTGTATTTAAGATGAACCAAGTGTTTGACAGCTTAGATGAGTTCAAAGAAGCTTTAGTTGATTATGCATTAAAGGGAGGATGGAACATCAAGCAAAACAGATGGGGGAAAGACAAGTGTGAAGCTATTTGTGGAGTAGAAGACAGTGAAACTCCTTGTAAGTGGAGGATATATTGCGCATTTGAGGAGCCAGTTGGGAAGTTCATGGTGAAGACATTTGAACATGAACACTCTTGCACAAAGGATGGATATTGCAAGATATTGAAGTCAAGAGTGATTGCAAAGTTGTTTCTAGATGACATAAGGTCTGATCCTGACTTTAAACCGAGGACAATTGAAGAGAATATTCTGAAAAACTGGAATCTCGTTGCCACAATAGACAAGTGTCGAAAAGGGAAGAAGATAGCATTGGAAATCATTCAAAAAGAGCATGAAGAGCAGTTTTATAGGCTTAGAGACTACAAAGCTGAGCTGCTACGGTAAGTATCTCTTGTCTTCTAGTTTAATCATTCAATGTTAGTTTTTTTTCACTAAACTGTTTTTATTTTCTTTGCTAGTTCTAACCCTGAATCCACCGTGGAGTTAAACACAGTTTTAGACGATGATGGATCTGAAATCTTCCATAGATTTTATGTGTGTTTTGCAAATCTCAGAAAACAATGGTGTACATGGTGTCGTCCCATCTTTGGACTTGATGGCTGTTTCCTCAAAAGCACTCTTAAAGGACAGTTACTAGCAGCAGTTGGTAGAGATGCAAACAATGGAATGTATCCCTTTGCTTGGGCTATTGTTGATGTTGAAAACGAAGATAATTGGACATGGTTTATACAGAACATCAATAAGGATTGTAAAAATCTTCGAGATGGTCAGGGGTATACAGTTATATCTGATAGACAAAAGGTAAGGTTCTTCTCTTTACTATGTTTGTTGTGCAGCTTTTCATTGGATATGACAGTTGTAATATGAAGTTTGTGTTTAACCTTTTCAGGGTTTGATTAATGCTGTAGACAGAGAACTGCCCAAGATTGAACACAGGATGTGTGCTAGACACATATATGGGAATTTGAAGAAGCTTTTCCCAAATTCAAGTGAAATGAAAGGGCTATTTTGGAGTGTTGCTGAAAGTTGCATTTTGTCAGAGTATGAAGCTAATCTGGACAGAGTTAAAGCTTATGATATCCGCCTCTTTGAAGCAATAATGCAGAGGAATCCAGCCAATTGCAGTCTTGCTTTCTGCACACCCACGGCTTCTTGTATAGATGTGCACAACAACATTTCAGAGTCATTTAACAATGCCATTGATCCTTCAAGATATTATCCAATGGTTGAGATGCTAGAGATAATCCGGAGAAGAGCTATGCAGCGTATAGAAGCAAGGAAGAAGAAGGCTGAAGATCACAAAGGAAGATTCACTAAAAGAGCCACTGCATTCATAGCTGAAGAACAAACAAAGCTAAAGTTCACCAAGTATGTGTCCGGCTCATCAGATGGAAGGTGTGAGGTTCTTGACTGTGGAAAATCTGTCAGCTTGCACATGGGAATGAGGACTTGTGCATGTAGGAAGTGGGAGATGAGTGGACTACCTTGTCGTCATGCATTGAGGATCATTAATAAGAAGAAGCTTAACTATGAAGACTACACATCTGAATGGTACTCCAATGCAAAGCAGAATCATATTTATTCTTCCTCAATAGAACCAGTCAATGGTTTACGATTTTGGAAGAACTCTGGCTCTGTGATCAAGCCTCCTCCTGCTTTGGTTGAAGAGATTCAGAACACAAAAGGAAGAAAACCGAAGCCTAAGAGGAAGAAGGCAAGACATGAATCTCCAACAAAAAAAGCTTCAAGAAAGAAGAGGATTATGCATTGTGGACGATGTGGAGAAGCTGGCCATAATGTTACCAAGTGCAAGAATCCGGTTTCAGAGAAGAATAAGTCAAAGAAGAAAACTCCAATAGATGATGGATTAGACTCGCTTACTCAAACTCAAACAACACAAGATCAGGTAAAACACTTCTTTTCAAGCTCATTTTGTTTTATCTATAATATTTCTGACTTTTGCTTCTGTTTTCATGAAGGAGTGATAATTCTGTGGGATTTAGAGGATGCGGCAATGTGATGTTTTGGTTTGTTTTTGGAGAAAGCGGTATTCTAGATGATAATTTGGTAGGTTTTTGGCAGTAGAAGATGCGGCTATATGGAAGACTACTTCTTCTTTTTTGTTTTGCTTAGATGTAAAAGATGTTGTTCGTTGGAATTCGTTTTAAGGAGCTGTTTGATTACAGTTTGAAAGAAATACAAGAAGCATCCATTATATGATATCTCTTTAATTAGCTTAGAAAAACAGGAAAAACTAGAACCATTAGAAAAATAGCAAACTCATACATTAAGCATTGACACTCATACATTAAGGTTCAAACACAATTACTACAAACAACATTAGCTTCTCTCTCACCACAATTCTATTACAAACATAATCAAAACAGAAAAAAGTAAACCAACATCATCACCACAACACATCCGATCATATTCTTCAAGCTCCGAAGCTCCATTTTGCACTCTTGCAACTCTTTTTCTACTACAGCTTCACAAACCCGAGTTTCCATTTGTAGAGTTTCAACCTCTGATTCACAAGCATTGAAACTCTTTTGTAATGAGATTGAATCTTCTTCCACATTCTTCACTTTTAACTTCAAATCCTCAATCTCTTCAACCATACTCTCATCAGTCCATTTAAACGTGTGATACCATCGATCCTGTAACAAATCAAAACTCAAATTCAAGTTTTCAAACATAAAAGTAGAAGAGAATCGGGAAATTGAAAAAAAAACCTCATCTGATCCATTAGGACAAGAGTGAAATAATCTTCCAGGGTTTTTGGCAGTCCTCGATGTACCCATCCTTACAGCTTCACCGCATCTGCATGTCGTCGGGATCCCTCTTCTTCTATCACCCATCGTTTTCTCTTCAAACTCTCTGTTTCACGACATACATAAAGAACCCTAATTTTGATTTTCTCCCCAAATCAAAACGACGTCGTTTTGTAAGTTCACACTCAACACCAAACCAAATGTTAAACGACGTCGCTTTATCAAGCCCAGAGGCCACGAGTGATGCCACGTAGTCGCTGACTCGGCACAGTTTAACGGTTTCATCACGCCGTCAAAGCAGATGTTGAAATCGGCAAAAAATTATATAGTCTGGGTTTGGAATTTGAATTTATATGTAGTCGGGGTTGATTTATGCAGGGAATCAAAGTTCGGGTTGAAAAAAGCCGCCAGCAAATAGTCTGGGTGGATTTTGGCCGTTTTCCCGAAAATAGCATAGCAAGGGTTACGAACGGGTTATTCAAGTAGTCGGGAAAACGGCCAAAATCAACTCATACTATTTGCTGGCGGTTTTTTTCAACCTAAACTCCGACCCCCTGTTATTCTCAACCAGAACTACTGTTAAATTCAAATTTTAAACCTGAACTTATATACATTATGCAAAAATCAACATTGGTATTGACAGTGTTAGTCAACAGTTAAAAAATGATGACTAAGCCGCCACTTTGGCGACCACGTGGCATTTGGACAAAAGTAAAAAAAAACCTTCATTTGCACTTAGCTCGATTCGAACATGGATAGTGTTCGAGGCCGAATATAATCAAACCCACTCTTTAACCACTAGGACATGTCAACTTATTGATAAAACTGGCATAAATGTTCAAGATATATTTGTTTGGCTTTTCCTTCTTCTTCCCTGCTTGTAACAAATCTGAGCTCGTAAGCCTTTGAATTCGATTGACCTCACAACCATAAATATTTCCCGAGAAAATCTCAAAATCAAAGATAAAATTCAACGAATTTTTAATGATATTTTCCTCTGTTTAAAAGCATCAAAATTCCTGGATTCAGAGGTAAAAGAAAAGCTTTGAGTCTTCCATTAACATGGGCGTGAGACACAGATTTATATTCATAATCGTGAATTTTAGGTGTAATGGAGATTGCTACTGTCGTTAAGGCTAATGGCGGTTGTGAAGCGGATCGGCGATGGCTTCGTCGATGATGCTCTGTCAAGGATCACGATTGGGGAAAAATTGGATCGCATTCCATAACCTCTCGGAAATATGATTTTGGCGAAATTGAGTTGCGATCTCCCGTTTCTATTCAAGGTTTCTTCTCCGATGAGGCATTCTCTGTGAAGAAGAGGAAGACATGACATAATTAGATTCAAAGATACATTAAATATTTGTTAATTTATACATGATATGTCAACATATCCGAGTGGTTAAGGAGGCAAGAACACAGATCTCTTGGGCTTTGCTTGCCGAGGTTCGAAGAACCACAGTGGCGTCTTGCTTGCCACGTCAACTGCACAGTGGCGTCTTAGTCATCATTTTTAACGGTTGACAAACACTGTCAATGTTGATTTTTGCATAATGTATATTAGTTCAGGTTTAAAATTTGAACTTAACAATAGTTCGGGTTGAGAATGACAGGGGGTCGGAGTTTAGGTTGAAAAAAGCCGCCGACAAATAGTATAGGTTGATTTTGGCCGTTTTCCCTTCAAGTAGTCTTTTATTGTTTGAATTACGTTGTGGTTCATAAAAACCAAACCTAAAGTACTACAGAGATTTGTCTATTTTATTTGTTGGAACTTGGAACACATACAGAAAAAAGGAAATCTATATATATAATAGGAGAGTCATCTCTCCATCTAGGCTATCCACATCATCATCCATCTAAGCATGCATTTAATTAAAAATTAAAAATTATAATTTATAGTTTATTTAAAATGTTTATTCAATACATATTTATTTTTATTTATAGTTATTTATGATTAAAAAAATTTAAGTTAAATAAAAATAAATTAATATTATAAGTAAAAAACAAAGAAATATAAATTTATACATAATAATATAATATGGATTTTAGCGAGAAAATGTTTAAGATTAATCATATTCAAAAATTTATAAACATTTCCGTTTAAAATTGATATATTAAAATCAATATGATGGATATTTCAGTTTTAAAATTGATATGTTCAAAATCAAGATGATGGATATTTTGAAAATCATATATATGAAAGGAAGCTATCTCTCTCCATCCTTTCGCCACATCAGCATTTTAGGCTTGAAGCTGACACATCAGCTTTCTATTCTTCCAATCAAAACATTTCATTAATATGATTCAGCTTTTATTTTTTACACATCATCATCTTTTAATTAGAATTGTCAAATGGGGAAAACAGAATAGCCCATGACGGATGGGCCATATGGATTTGAAAATCTATTTCACAAATTAACAATATATTTATTATTTAATTATATATTATTTAATTTTACATATTGATTTCTACTAATACCAACTTATTTGGTTATTTTATGTTTTTTTCAATGAAATTATTTTATTGGTTTTATATACTCCAAAGTTTTTTTCGCTAATTTTTGTAATCTTAACTCAAAATATGAGTGGATAAGCTAATGGTTTGAGTAAGTTTTTCTCTTAAATTTTTTATTTATATATGATACGTAAGGTCATCAAATTTTTGAAGTTCTATATCCCAATATTACCATCTATAAAATTGGTTTAGGACAAAGATTGTTTACGGATTGTGTGAATGATGTATTGTTGAGTATGTTGGTTGAAAATGTATTTTAATACTAAGAGTAGTTGTTCATTGCATGGGTAAATGATTAGATAATTAAAAATTACATTTATCAAAATATAACATCAAGTAAATCAAAATTAAAAAAAAACGGAAAAACCCGCGGCGTAAAGCGGGTGATCAACTAGCAACAAGAACAATCAAAATAATTTGTTATTAACAAATTTTAAAACAAATCCACGCGTAGCATGGGTATTCATCTAGTGCAAGTAGCGAGAGAGACTGATAATAATCAAAGACTTGGAAACATCTATTCTTCCGCCAACTTGACTTAAGCAGAGACCAAATTAAGTGGAAGCTGAAGAAGTAGGTAGTTTGAAGTCGACACACATATTTATTATTGGCTCGTCCATGTACTTTTGGCGCAAAGAAACTGAGTACTTGAGTTCCTTCACAAGTTCAAAATAAAACGAAGCGGAAATGTTAAATGCAAGGATTATGAATTTTTTTTTTTTTTTATATATAGCAAATAGTTACTAAAGCGAAAACAAACTAGTATAGGTAGGTTTGGTTTCAGTTCATAGAACATTAAAACATTTTGGTCCGATTTGGTTTATTTGGATTGACCAATCTTAAAGTGGATAGATGGTACTTAATCACAAAGTAGTGTTAATGAAACAAACATGTCCTAGGCAGGTTTTCAGTAGGTGTATAACACATAAAAATGTTTTTATATCGACCACTTAGATATCCAACACATGATAAAATGGAAAACAAGCAGAATTAATAAGAAATAAAGATCATCATCATGAATAGTTATCAAAATAAAAAACCAAGTAGAAAGTATTACTTTTGAAGTTCATGTTAAGATCCTCTTAACACGGTTTTAGATATGCGACTTTGAGTCAATTAAATGAAAGCCAAAATCTAATCCCGCTTTCTATCGAATTATGAAGATTTTTTAAAAATTTCTGTTGTATAGTAATAAAAACTTTGTCTTGTGTAGTGATGATTCAAAAAGTTTGGGGAAAAAAAGTTTGTGATCTAGTTGGGATAGTTTAGCAAAGCCAACCTTTCTTAAAAAAACCAAACACTTCATAGAAAAACAAGTCTTGGAAAAATTTACTTCTTAGAAATGTTAAACATAAAAAAAAAACCACTTAATCACTTCTTAGAAAATGAAAAAAAAAAAAGATAGTGATGTTTAAGAATAAAGCCAAGTCTTGAAAAAAAAAACTCATGTCAACCGGTTCTATTGGTTCATCGGTTTTAGTTATTTAGTTTGTCCAAACCGGCTTTCCATCCGGTTCATGGTTGAACATGGTCCGTTTGGGTTTGACAACAATAGTCCTAGGATTAAGGAAAATCACATTCATTCATAATTTTTCCCACTTTGTAAAGAAGAATGTAAGAATAGGTACCTCATCAAAACCAACATAAAGAACTTCGGGAAGAGTCAACACAAAGTTGGTGCCAGCTTCAATCTCAGCTTCAGTGTTACAAGCACTCACATCACATAGATTGTAAGTCTTTAAAAGACCAGTAAATTCCCGTCTTTAAAGGTTACATATACAAGGGTTCCCACGGTGATGTTTTTGCCTGTATATTACATGAAATTTTTTATCAAGAAAATAGTGGAAACTAAAAAAGAGAAAACAAAAAAGGAGAGATAGTTAAAATTTGGAAAGATAAAAATAAATTAAAAAAAAAACTACGTACTTG